TCTAAATATACTGGCTGATGACCTTGTATGTGACTCATCCAGTCTCTGAAGTATTTTATTCTTTTGTATGGGGTCTTCTTACGACCGCCATTAGCATAATATTGCTCTCTGGTGGCATTTGGTACAGCATTACGAATATTCTTACCACACTCGTAACATTGTGCTGACGTGTCGTCTTCTATTTGCATTTTCTTACCACAACAAATATACTTATTTGGCTTAGTAGGCACAAACTTGGGTTTTAAGCACTTTATACAGAAGTCAAAAACAAACTCTTTACAATCTTCGCACTCCATATATAGACTAACATATCTTACATAGACGCGGGATGCGGGTAATCGCGGTACGAATCGAGGGGGGTACTTTAGGCGGGTAATCCTCCGGTGGTCGTTGCGCTGGAACCCCCATCCCCTATACTACTGGAAATGTATGGAGATCAAAAATTTCAATAAAATCATTGAAACGTGAATTATAGCCTCGAAATTTTACCCGGTCATTGAGAAATAGCACTTCTTTCGCTCTGCGTGGTTATTTTTTTGAATTTAACCCGTTTTAAGATTTTTTCCCCACCAGTAAGAAATGTTGCTTCTCTTTCTTACTGGTAGAGAAAAAAAATCCTTGAAACGGGCTAAATTAAAAAAATAACCACGCAGAGCGAAAGAAGGGCTATTTCTCAGTGATCGAGTAAAATTTCGAGGCCTTATTTTACGTTTCAATGATTTTATTGAAATGTTTGATGAATCTCCATACATTTTCTTATAACATGACACCACAGAAACCAAGCTTGGGCTACCTGTACTTTCATTTCTTTTTCCTGTTTTCCTTGACCGTGTTGTCCTGGTCCCGCCAGCATGTAGTCGAGGCTTCTACGTGTCCTTTAATCTCAAGATGGCGGACGAACATTGATTACAAACACTAGAATATTCATTGAGTTTCCATGGACAATCCTCTTCATGTCTTCAATTACAGACATCTATCACTCACCTAAACCCTCATGTGGGCTTCGTCTCTAGTCAGTCTTTTCATGTTTAGTGTTGTCGGAGCTCCTTCGAAGAATGACTCAACGCAAAGCCCTGTGACAGTCAGAAAAAGAACAGCAAAAAAGAAGAAGAAATACACTTTAGACCAAAACAAAATGGTGCCTAAAGCCACGGTGGTGATAGATTCTGGAGATGACTTCGACACAAAAACCGAGAATCAAGAAATAGAAATTTTTAACTCAGACGAGGAACCTTTTGGTCGAATTTTATTACGGTCTCACAAAGAGCCTGAAGTGAGCATAGTGAATGGAGAATGTTTGCATGAGGATGAACCCGATTTAGAACCGTTATTACCAGAGCAAAGCCATCGAGAAGGGAGCGTTGTCTTAAGAGACGATAGTGATAAAGGGCTGGGAGAAGAAGAAGGATCGTTTTCTATAGCTCTACAAGTTTTCTTTCCTTTTCTTATCGCGGGGTTTGGTACTGTTGCTGCTGGATTACTTCTTGATGTTGTTCAGGTGAGTTTTTTAATTTTTATTTTTATCCCTGATTTATTCACAGATACAGCTCCCTACACCAATAATACTTTATTCATTTTTGACAATAACTTGAGATGAATGGAATGATTTCAATTTCAATCGTAGTTGGGGTTGTCCGATTTAAAAGTTAAAAATAATTATACGAATTTCCTGCCACAAGAGTCCACTTAAAAGAGCCACTAATTAGCTTACTTTACAAGTGGTTGCTATGCACCTGATTATCAACTTAGGTATCCAAAGTTTTTCTTTTATCTTGTTAAACTTTCCTGTTTACCAAGATAAAATGCTTTTTACTCTTGTAAGGTCGTGATTGAATTACAGTTTGTTTTGTTAATGTCTAAAAAAATTAAACTTACTTTGGTAGTGAAGAAAAGCCAAGGGGACTTGCCAGGTTGGAAGTTAATACTTTCTTATTTACATGAAGTTATACTATATAAACAAAACATTTCCTTTTTTCAATTTTGGTGTTTAAGTAACTTAGGATTAAAGGAAGCTACTAAGTCATTGATGAGTGTGTATAAAATACATATACATGTATCAACATTGTCATGTTTTAACTTTTTACCCCTATCTGTTTTCAAAAATAATTGACACAAAAATTAGAGTGTTGGGCATTTGTGTCCTTTTTGATAAAATGATGTTGTGGTTTGTTTACAAAAAATTATTAATTTAGGCTAAATCTTGTTTGTGTGAGATAATTAAAGTGACATTTAGCTGTTCTCACTTTTCGCCATCTCATAAACCTAGTATATTGTGATTTCATTTGTGTTGCTGCTTTCCTCCCCTCTGGCACAACCATGATCCTTAGGGTTAAAACAATTTGTTCAAACAATAATTAAAACAATTGTTTCTAATTATGCCACGTCATGGTGAAATACATGTAGATCAATTTCCAGGAATCAAGCATTCTAGGACACAACAGCATTAAAAGCAAGGATCAGATTAATTAGTTCATTAAAATCTATGGAAAAAGATGCCATTGATTATAAAATTACATTTTGGAATGCTAATTAATTCTGCACCTGAGTAAACACACATTTTTACTCAGTCATACATCATTATTCTTTATATTAACATAACCCCCCCCCCCCCCAAAAAACTACCGTTTTACCTACAAGATAACTGCCATGAATCTGCTCTATTCTCAAAAAATATCATTACTATTTGTCTGATATTTATAATATACTTTGATGTTCATCTATCCAAGCAATATTCTTATTAATTGATTGTTTATATTTTGATCCATCTCTGACTCTTAGCACTGGAAAGTTTATCAAGAAATTTCTGAAATATTTATTCTGGTTCCTGCTTTGCTGGGACTGAAAGGGAATTTAGAAATGACACTTGCATCAAGACTATCAACAGCTGTAAGTTTAGATTATTATATATAGCTTAGATAGTATGCATGCACATTCTGATTGGTCAAGAACTGTGCTGTGTCAGTGAATAGAGCATGATGTTGATGTCATCCATACATTTGCAGTCTGTTTGAAATACTCTGTTCATGTGAAATGTAAAAAGAGATCTTTTTTTGAATTTGTGAAATTACACTGTGTTCCTTGTCAATGATTGCAGACTCATATACTTAGGATTAGTCTCATAATTAGTCTAAATATTCACAAATACCAACGATGAAATAAAGAAAGCACAAATTCAACAATACAAACACTTTGAAATTCTACGGAACTTCACTAGAACACTTTATTGTTCTATACAGCTTTGAGGATAACCCTGAGCACAGAGAATTAGAATCTCAAGTATTAAATCCCATAACCATGGTTTATATTATTGAGGTATCTAGTTTTTATTCTAAATAATTGAGTCATTTTCTTGTTTTTGTGTGTTTTAGGCTAATATTGGACATATGGACAGTAAGAAAGAACAGTGGAAATTAATAGGGGGAAACCTCACCCTGTTACAGGTACAGCATCAATAAAAATACATCTTTTTTGTGTGTCTATTGTAGCTTGACCTGCAGTAGCAAATGACACACACATGGACACCACTGATTTGTTTCGGTATCCAATTGTTTCGCCTACTGAAGTTCGCCTACATATCAAAATGCATTGTAAAACCTATCTATGAAGAGAGAGACAATAAAATATACTATAGATAGGTTTTACAATGCATTTGATACAACATAGGTGAACTTCAGTAGGCAAACCAATGCATAGGCGAAACTATCATAAACCTTTGTTTCTGACTCACTCTCCAGGTACAAGCAACTGTTGTTGGTGCCTTAGCATCTGTAGCTGCAGTACTCATGGGATGGATTCTGGATGGTCATTTTGACATTAACCATGCTTTCTTACTGTGTGCTAGTGGTCTTGTGACAGCAACTTCAGCAAGTTTTGTACTTGGATCAGTCATGGTTGCCGTAGTTATGTGTTCAATCAAGTGCAATATAAACCCTGATAATGTAGCCACACCTATAGCGGCAAGTCTTGGAGACCTAACAACTCTTGCTCTTCTATCGGGAATTAGTAGATTTTTATATAATAAAATAGGTGGGTAAGGAAATGATTAACTATTTGATTTATTACACACAMAAAAAAAATCAATATCTTGAAGGAAAATTCAGACTGGAATAAATATTTTAATCCCAATTCCTCTAAAAAAATTAATCCATTCAGTCCAAAATCTCCCTCAAGATATAGGGCAAAGCAAAAAAATATGTTTGTTTCCTGTTGAATGAGAAAATTATTTTGGTTGGTAGGTCAGATTTTTTTTATTGATACAACAGTGGAAATGAGCTTATTGGAAACCCTGTGGTGCATTTGGGAATTTAAAAAATATATTAGAGTCGGTGAAAATCGGCAAGGAAATTAGGGTCTGTTGCGCAACAGGAAATTGATTTTAAAATTTAATTTTTTGTTTGGCCTAGTTTTTTTTTTTTAATATTAGTCGGTGTGGGTCACACTTCAATGATAATGTTAGTAATAAGGAACATAAATTTTTTTATGTAAACAGGAACAGAACACCACTGGATAGCACCTGTTATCTGTGCTGCCTTCTTCATAATCCTTCCCATATGGTTCTATATTTGCCATAAAAACCACTTTACTCATGGTGTCCTGTATTCTGGCTGGAATCCTGTGTTAAGTGCCATGGTGATCAGCAGGTATTGTATTTTCAACACTGTGAGACAATTTTCCAGTTTCAAGTTATCTTTACTCACCCTTAGTTTCGGTTGTTTGTTCTAATAGTACACCATTCTCATAATGGCTTACAACTGCAAGAAAACGAGGTCACCCAGTCCTTGGTTCAAAGTAAAAGACATAAAAGCACATGAAATGCATTTATAGAAGCTATTTATAGAAACTATAGAAATTTACCTCTTGTTTTGACCTGAATTCATGCTATCCACTTTGATTTTGAATGAGCAGCCTTTTCTCAGGGTTACAAGATGCAAGATGACTAGATGACCTCGTACTCCCTTCCCCCCCCCCCCCCCCCCCAAGGAGGGTGGCCAAATTTTGTATCAATCTTGTAGGAATTATTTTTATGATTAATAATAAGTAATTACAATAATTTCCCTTTCAGTTCTGGTGGTCTGGTACTTGACTATGCTGTATCAAGCTATCACGGCATTGCCGTCTTCAGTCCTGTTGTTAATGGTAAGAAACCTTAGCTTTAAGGTGTCTCTATCCATTTTCTCTGTAACTATATAGTAATGTTAGTTTCACTGAAATGTGCATTGTCATTAACTTCAATCTAAGACTAATGGCTGGTGTAAATTTCGAATCAGCCCGACTACGGAAAGCTTCCAGCTGATCTTAGAGAAAACGTTGGCCAATCAGAATCTAGAAAATTTGCAAATTGCAGGTGTCACTTTTCCTCTTGAAATTATTGATTTCCAGGCCACCAAATGAAAGAACAATAATGTTGGTAATACTGTAAGAGGTTGACAACAATAACGACAGGGCAGAAAAACGGGTTCTACTTTCGACGTTTATATTTCATAAACAGGCTCTTTTGGGGCTGATTAACAAAATACCAAAATTTGCGGAAATTGAAGGAGTGCGTATTTGAGATATAACACCCTGAACGTTGGGAGAGATGATATTTTGATCAGCACAAAAACTAACATTTTCGCTCATACCTCGAAGTAGAATATTGCTCGAGGTTAGCAGAATTTGTGAAAAGTTTAAAGCACAAGAGACACGAATGAATCACTTTAAACGTTTTTTAGCATGAATGAGAGAAAAATTTTACCAAAAAAAATGGACTCAGACACCTTTATTCTGTTGTGTTTTCACAGGGGTTGGAGGTAACTTGGTGGCTGTACAGGCCAGTAGGCTGTCAACATTTCTTCACCAAAGAGGCCATCCAGGAAAGATGCCAAAGGGAGTCAAATTTAAAGGTTGCATTGACACATTTTTTGGACCAGGTACAGTGTTTATAAAAAAKAATTAATGATTGATTAACGATAATCAAGACAAATCAACTGGGCTAAGAATGAGTGGCAAGCATACAGTACTGCATTAATTGCAATGTATTCATTATGGTATGCCATAACATTGAACTTGCTGTTCCAAAGTGTATTACACTCGCCTATCACCTCTTGATCTGAGGTTATATTTTCAATTCCTGAGTTAGCATCACACAATTTCTCCTTTTTCTCTCTTACCCCTTGCAAAACACACTCCCAATTCAAAACTCAATCCAATCTGTAAGTCAGCCATGCCCTGACTTAGAACAGCCCAGAGGTTGTTTCAGGGTTTGATGTGTGAGTTAGCCATGCCCTGACTTTGATAAGCCCAGAGGTTGTTTCAGGGTTCAATCTGTGAGTTAGTCATACCCCGACTTAAATCAGCCCAGAGGTTGTTTCAGGGTTTGATCTGTGAGTTAGCCGTGCCCTGACTTAGATCAGCCCAGAGGTTGTTTCAGGGTTCAGTATGTAATTGAAGGCCATTACTTATAATATTACTTATCATTTACCATTTCTACCTTGCTCATAGGCATACATTCCAGGACAACCCGTGTTCTTCTCTTCCTGGTCATACCTGGTCATCTCATATTTTTATACACTATCAAGATGATGCAGGGTGGACACACTTCTTTTACTGCAATCTTTACATGTGTATATCTATTAGTAGGAGTACTACAGGTAAGATTGCTATATCACTGTTGGGCTATTGCAGTCAATAATAATTATAATAATAATAATGATAATAATAATAATGGGAGGTTCTTGTATAGCGCATTTATACGTCTCAATGCGCTTTACATTAATGACAAACATTTCTCTTGGAGAAATTGCTTACAGTCAACATTTTCCTTAGAGCCAGGGTTAAAAATGAAATGATATTACTGCAGCTGTAAGCAAAAGAGTGGCTCTTCATTTAGAATTGGTTTTTGCGAAGATAGGAAAAACCCTCAAAGCCAGAAATCCGGGTAACCATGGTGAAAGGCTATGCCAACCGTGCATCCCATTTTTTGACTAATTAGATTCTTATCTTAAATTATAGTTGAATTATTATTTTAGATTATTTAAAAATGATTAATAATCTTATTCTTATTTATTTAGGTGTCAATTCTCCTCCTGTCAGCCAATTGGATGATCCACTGGATCTGGAGACGTGGCAAGGATCCAGACAACTACTCCATACCCTATTTAACCGCCATAGGAGATTTATTAGGAACAGCCCTTCTCGCCGTAGCTTTTCACTTACTGTGGTTGGTTGGAGATAGAGACAGCGATGTTGGGGATTAATGATAAAATACCTATTGATATTTATATTCTAATGCATGCATCCAAATTATTTTTTGTCTTTAAACGAATCCAAGTATAATACAAAAAGAATATTTCTTTATCATGAAACATTAGCATTTTCTTAGATTGGTAAACAGGATTCCAGTCTAGCTTGGATACAAATAACACCATATACATATTCCCAAATCATTTATCCATTTATTGCTTGATATCAATAATATTTTCCAATCTTCTGGGGTATTTTTAAATTCTATGCGAAGAACGAGTTAAGGATTACGAAATATAATATAAATGTTTTTATCACTTAAATATTCTCTTATTTTTCCTTTATTTTCTTTAGATTTGTTAAAAAATGCAACATCAAGAGTATCGCTTTTT